GCAGCAGAGAGGCACGCAGGTCTGCGAGTCGCCGGCTCGCTCGGCCCTCAGCCCGCGCGGGAAAGGAGACAGAGGAAAGGCCGCTTACGTGCTCGAGCCGCTCCTTCCTGCTCAGCCACACGCTCGCCGAGTAGTCCTGCTGCTGGACGGTGCTGTACACGCCGCTGCCCACCCGGGCGAGGGCGGACGTGGCGAGCTCGGGGCGGCTCTTCAGCCGCAGCTGCTCGAACCCCTCCGCCGGCAGCCGGCCTTCCATGTTGTCATGACAGGCTCTGGTGCGGCGCGGGCACCTCGGGGTGGGGGCGCAGAGGCGCGGACCTCAGAGACGAGCCCCCCCGTGCGAGTGCTGCAGCTCCATGGCCCGCTGTCGCTCCGTGCCTGTGATGTAGACACAGCAGCCGCGGCAGCAGCTAGCTAAGGCAGCGCTGACCAGGGCTCCTCTGTAGAGCCAAGTGGGAGGGGCAGCCGAAGATGCACAGCAGATGTGGTGCAGTAAGGCTGCAGCTGAGAAGAGAGAACCAGCCCAAAATCTTCAGGATCCCACACTGCCTGCCTGACAGACGAGCAGCACGTCAAATATGGGCTTTCCTGCGGCAGGTGTGGACTGCATAGCCCCATCCCACTGCCTCGCTCTCTCACATCAGCTTGTGTTAAAGAGCAGACAGACCATACTGAAAGGTTTCTGCTGAAAGGCCCCGATAAAGTATTTATTTGTGGGAGCTTAAGTGCAGGCAGCCTCCCAGCCTGTTTGTCTTAACAGTCCTCTTTCACAATGCAGGGAGAAACCCTCCCTCAGTAGGAATGATGATCAGTGCCATCAGTAAGGCACTGCAGTGAACAGAAAAGAACTCCCTCCCTTTCACAGCTGATATCGGAGAGAAACCTACCAGACGGGCAGACACAAGAAGTTCCCCCAGCCTGGGCATATCAAATTCAACACCAAACGTGCACAGAATGAGGGTTTCCTTCCTTCTGAAATAGGGTCACATAGCACAGGCATTCCCCTTTTAACACATGAATTATTGAGGATCATTAGTTTGTGTCATTAAATATTAAGCACATGGATTGATACATGCACTCGTGCCCTTCTACCAGCTGAAATCCTCAAGGCTGGTGAAAGCAAGACGCCAGCACAGGAAGGAGACATGTGGAATAAACACACCTGGTCTCAAGCTCACTTCGATTAAGACCTCTGTTTGTTTTCAGCTCCCTCCATCTTCTGCTCTTGTTCAGCACATTTGTTGGATAATAAGCCTAATTGAGTTGTGAAAGTCCAAAGGAGCAGGTGCTCACTGCCAAATGACTATAATAGGGTGACTGGCCTCCTTTTGTGTCGAATGTATGTTCTTACACCTCACAGCTGGCTCACAGAATTTAAAGTCTTCAGCTGAAAAAAACTATTACTGATGTAGTGTTTCACGACGGCACCACAAAGACAGTGATTCATAGGTGAATGAATTGTTTAGAAGTTTGAGCTCATAATACTTGCTAATTAGTTAAACTACAAATTTGCAACCGAAAAGGCAATTAAGATTGAGACTGGAAGATTGTCTGTTTACATTGCCTAACGTACTGTAGCTGTTGAGGGGGACAGCTGTTCCAGCATGGCCTGGCTGAGCCCAGAACTGTGACAGAGAGCCCCAGGTCTGCATGTGTGACCTGCTCTGTAAATCATGTTTCTTATGCGTTTACCTCAGAACTTTGCACTGCTGCTTAGACATCCCTTACAGTTATGACCGTTGCCTCGCCACCTGTAGTGGGCGCAGTGGCACCCGGCAGTCTCTGATAACCCCAGGCGTTCACCCTGCACAGTCCAGACAAGAGGCCATGTGGGACAGGGCAGGCCTGCCTCTCCACCGGGGCATGTCGGGGCCTGAGCACCTGGACAAACCACGATGGACAGCAGAGATACTGCGCAGGGAAGAGCTTATTGTTGCAATGGTCTTCAAAGCGCACAAATGAAAAACCTCAACTACCTTTGTGAATCCCTTTATATACCAAACCTTGCCTAAATTGAACCACATTTGGAGAATTTGACCCCCAGCCCCTGGACAATTATCTAATTGATCAATAATGCACCAGATGTGACCCTATGTATGCTCAATGATAAATGACTTCTACCGGAAGGTCAGCTGAAACTAAAATCCTAATTACTGCCGCAATGTAGTTTGAATGTTTTGGGACTGCTGGGCACTGATGTCACTGTGACACTGTCTTGTGCCAGAGGACCTGTTGTTGTCCCCCCCACAGCAGCCTCAGCCTCACTGGCCTGAGTGGACACAGAGAGTGTGGCATTATACTCACGTAAGTAATGTTCTTATATTACCCCTGAAAACCCTCCCAGCAGCTGACGCACTATCCCCTCCACACCAAGAGGATGGCCCATGAGGCTTCAGTCAGTTTAGAGGAGGCTCCTTGGGTGTGACATTACTGTAGAGTGACAGCAGAAGTCTAGTCTCACACGGTGAGAATCAGAAATGTCAGACAAAAACTATCAAACTGAAATATTTCCTAGGGTCCCCTACTGTAGCTGTTTAATCAAATGTCATCAAGCTTCACATCAATGCCAGTGTGAAACAGATTTTAAAATGGCTGAAACTGCGTGTATCCAGTAGCCCTTTAACTCCACATCTTATCATGGTGGATTACTTGACTGAGAAGAACGGAGAATATATCAGAATGTGGAGACGTTATATCAAGAAGCCCTGATCTTTTACCTAGGATCTACCCTACAGCAACATTTTAAATTTAAGCTCCCAATTTCAGCCCCATAAACCTTGCAGCTGAACTGTGAATCTGAGGGCCTTGGGGAATGACCTGCACTCAAATTTTCTGCTGCTAACAATCTTATAGCAAAAGTTTTTCCATCAATTATTCCACGTCAGACACAGCTTGTGCCAATCGTTTTGGCACCGAGGTAAGAGCACTGGGCATGAATCAAATTCCAGATGAAATGAGCTGCTCTCTCAGGAACACTGAGGGATGTGGAACAGCCGACGCAGCAGAAATGTGTTATGTAAAAAGGAACTTATGGTAGATCATCTATAGTTTAAGTATGTGAAAAGCAAAGTTTTCATCTACATACCTACACTGTCTTTTGCTAAATTTGCACATTTAACCTCCTGCTTATCTTAAGAGGTTTTTTCTGTGTTAAGTTGTATACTTCGCTTCATATAATTACTTTTCAAAGTTTGTAACTGTAGAATAAGTGATACATTTGCAAAGGTCACAAAAGTGAAAAACCTGTATAATTCTGCTATATCTGTAGGATTATAACTGTGCTATATCTGGAGGGTCTGGATATCATGTTCATTTTAATGCTTTGGAAAAATGTAATATTTAAACTAATTATTGTTGTTAAAAAATGTACTGTACATTTGATCTGGCAACATGGAGCCAACACTAATCGGGCTGTGCTTACTTGTTGTTTAGGAGGCAGCTTTGTCGAATCACAAATCATAAATGAAGTCAAAACATTTAACATTAGCGCTACGTTTCCCAACAATTTCTGTCTGCACACTTATTCAGGAAAGCCTGAACAGCAACTAATTTTAACTGTGCAATAAACTGTGTTTTGGGTGTTGACTTGCTCTGACAACACAAGCCTCATGACTTCAGACGCATTACTTAGAAGTGTTCGCTGATTAGAGGGAAAATGGATCCCATTAAGAGCTGATAAAATCTTTATTCCTTTCACAGCTTTTACTACAAAATGACTAACAGGGCATCCCACAATTACATCTCTGGATTTACCCAGTCACCGAGCTTTTCTTTCATTTACATGCTGTGCAGTTGTGTCTGCTTTCTTGCTTTTGACTATTACATTCAACTTTTAAAAAATCCGAAGTGATAAATCCCGTACAAAACAGGGACTTCAAAAAATGTAAGCATTCGTATATGGTGATGTTCTTGCCAAAGCTACATGAATACAATAAATTCTAGAACTACGGTAGATTAGAAATAACTAGAAGCCAAATAGGAAAAACCCTTCAACACCTCTCATACCACTGAAGCGATGGACACAGAAACAGCATGAACTTACCTCCATCGCTGTCTTGTCTGCAGTGCAATGCATTTGAAAAGGATCTCATTTACTTCCCTCTCATTTTGAGCTAATTAATCATATCTCACCCCCCTCCTGCTGCCTGGCTGTACTAACCCTGAAGAAATTCAGGTTAATTGACAGATCACATCAAGGAGCTCCAGCTTGTAACCCTCACTTCACCTCTTTCCAGTGTGCAAGCATTTGCAGGAAGGGCAATTAAAAATATGTTCATTTTTAAACACAAACAAAGAGCAAGGGACCAGTGAAAGGTTTCAACGTACACTCTGTGAAAAAATGGAAGAGAATATTGCAATTAGGAGGATGTTATGGAAAAAATGTTTTTTATGCACACAGTTCCCAAAAAAATGTTGTATTTAAGGACCGGGCACCAGTGAAAACTACATGCAAGTACATTTAAAACCAAGATCAGCAGGCAGGTCTTTATACAAAGGGCTGTAAGAGTCCGGAACAAGCTACCCAGCCAAGTTGTTGAAGCCAATACTTTGGCTTCGTTCAAGTAAAGGTTAGATGAGGTTAATTAACTGCTCAAACTACTATCAAACAAGGCTAAATTACCTCTTCTCGTTTGTAACCCGTTTTATGTTCTCATGTTGCACTTAAATGCTGCGTATGGGTTCCTACTCCTAACTGTCTCAGAGCAGACAAGTGAGAATTAGACATCTACAGATGTCAAGATTTAAAGTTCCATAGTATTGTAGGGAGACCACTCACAAGACTATCACCACCTGTCCCAGTTAACCATCATTTGTTAATAAACAAATGAAACTCATGAATATTGCTAGTCATAAAATCACCTGTGAAGACAGGTGACTATTGACTTTGACAAACAGGCACGCAGGAGCTGAAGACCATCAGCACAGCGTGCTGGCGCCACGGAAATTGCTGGTCCAAACAGAAATCTGGATTCTACCAACTGTACAACATAAACTAGCCAAAGCAGGACGCAGAGAGAGGGAGATTGATTAACTGATTAATTGAACATGTGTTGGAAAATGAATAAGTGCTAAATGATGCAAAATCCAATTCTGCAAATGCAAGACAAACGATATGGCAAAAAGCCCAGTTAAAATCCTATGCTCAATGTTAGATAATTAAATTATATAATTACAATATGATCATTTATAGAGTTTTAGGTGGGTAGCTGCGTCATCATGAGTAGGATACAAAGGAACAAGTAATAGGTTTAATAATAGGTAATAGGCTAGTAATAGGTTTTCTCTACTTCGGTCTATTACAAACCCACTGATTCACACAACTATCTCCTGTATAGCTAATTTCACCCCAAACACACTAAAAACTCTCTCCCCTTTTCACAGTTCCTTCGGCTACGACGACTCTGCAGCAACGACATCGATTTCCAGAACCAAGCCCTCAAAATTTACTCCTTTTCCATCAATGGAGGATACCCCAGCAGTGTTATTGACAGGGCCCTTGCCTGAGCCAAAACCACCCCTCCAGTGAAAGCTAATGGCTTTACTCTCACATCAAGCCCAACACACCTTCCTGGTCTGAAAGCAAGAGAGACTTTAACTGCTTCACAGAAGTACAGCATGTGGGAGGGGTTACGTATGCTCCTCAACTACCTCTCAGTCACAAGTGGATGAAATAACTCATCTTTACTGCTCAGTGCTCTGGCAGGAAGGGTTCTTTCAATGTGGGGTGATTCATCT